ATTAGCAGGATATAGTTTTCCGATCATATCTTTTTTTCGTACTTTTTGATCCAGGGATGATCCAGAATCTGTTGAAATTTGTTTTGGAGATATTGACAGCCTTGCTCCTGAAACCTTCTTGACATCCCAAATTATGAACTTTTACATCCGGTTAGTTATTTCAGATACTTCTAGATCTGATTCCATGATTATGAATTCAAAAATTCTTCACAATTCACAAGTTTCTCATCTTGTAAGGAATGGCAATTGGGTGTGTTAGGTTGGGTTCCTGTCGGGTAATTTTGAATTCTAGTCATTTTGGGTTTTGATTCTTGAGGTTGTTCCTTTATTTAAATTACATTCAATTTGATTCATTGACTTTGGGATGGATGAGGTTGCAATTCAGGTGGGTATTTGGATTTGCATCAACTTTTGCTACATTTAATCTGCTGACAGATAGCAGAATCAAGTTTGGGTTGGATATTGGTTCTACTCTCTGACTATTCAAGTAAAACTTGTTGGGTTTCAAGTGGGTTGGGTTTTTGGTGGGTTGTTTTGGTCACTTAAAGTCGATATAAAAGGTACCTTTATCAAGTAGGAAATGGATTAAATGTCAAAACAGCTTTGTTTTTTACTTTTCCTGGGAAGCTTTAGGCTGTATCTTATTAGAACAATGTTGTTGCTGTATCATTCTGCAAGGAAACAAATGGTTTCCACTACTATATTGCTTTTGAATGCTATGTGAAATAGGTGTAAGAAAGTTGACTACTTGAGTATTGAAATTTGTGGAAAATTTGAACTTAAATCTCCAATATTCTGTGCCTGACATGCCTTTCTTATGACTGCATGGAAAATGCCCATTTTTGTGGAAATATAATTTTTTTTTAAGTTTAAATGCTTGATTTAGTTAGAAACATTTTGTTGAAATAGCTGCTAGTTAATAGATTATGCTTCAGAAAATATTGGGCCTCTATTTTTATCACTTTATGGTTCTTTTGGGCAGATATTTACAGCAGCAGGCATCCCCAACAAATAGGGCAATATGTGATTATCATTTTTTTAACACGTATTTTTACCAGAAGCTGAAAGAAGCTGTATCATACAAGGTTTTATCTTTCTTGTTCTCTTATAAATGATTGCCTTTTAGATGGTGTAAGATGAATACATCATACTGATTTAGGATACCTGAACTGGTTGAACTTGGTGCTTGAGTTTGTATTATGATACTGTTATGATTTTTTTTCCTGGTAAAATAATGTTGTTATGATTTTTTACTTCACTATTTAACTCATTTAACTTTGTTTCTGAATAGAGCAACTTGATAACAACTAAATAAACCTTAAGAACAAAAGCAATATTTAATATCAGAAAAAACAGTACAACAAGACTTATGTGCTATTTTTTAAAGTTTTTATCATACTTTTCGAACTGGTGGGGTTAGAAACTGCAGTTTTTCAAACATTGGCTTTTAGCAGATCATGTTTATATAATTTATCTGTATATTATTTGCTGAACTATAAAATTATCGGAGTATAATGATTGTTACTTCTCCAACTCATACTTGCTGGTTGCTTGTTATCCTTTATGCTAAATAGGGGAGTGACAAAGATGCTTTATTCATCAAGTTCAGAAGGTGGTGGAAAGGTGTCAATATTTTCCAGAGGGCATATGTACTTATTCCGATAAATGAAGAGTGAGTTTTTCTGCTATAGATATTTACATACAAGCATGTAGAATGTTTCTTTTAAACCTATAGATATTGATGCCTGCTCTTATGTGGACTTCCGGAGTACCTCATTTGCATGACATGACACAGATATGGATTTGAAAATGGTTTGGAAATGGCTTACTGTGTTGCCATGATATGCCAATATGGTGCTTTTCACAGTTAGTAAATGTATCATGTCCAAGAAAGAATTGGTGCAGTGAAAGAAACAAAGTCAGAAAGAGAAAAAGAATTTAATTTGGAAAGAAAGATAAATTTTGAAAGGGGGAGGGCTGGGGTGCATGTTGGGGGGGGTGGAAGGGTGGCCTTTTGTTTCATTATGGTGGATCATTGGACACACACTATTATGTATCTTGCAATGATGTTTGCCGTCTTGCTTATGATAATAAACAAGGGAGGGAGGGAGGAAAGAAGGGGGAGAGGAAGAGGGGAAGCAGGGAAAGAGACAGAGGGTAGGTAGACATGGAAACACAGTTTCTTTCTCAAAAATGGGAGACAGAGGAAACACCATATAAGTATCTTCCAACAATTCTTGCAGTTTTTCACATGATTGTTGACAAACATTTTGATTTCTTGACATTATAGTTACCTTCTCCCCATCTCCATTCTTCCTTTTCTTGGATTGGAAATTGTAAGGTATCATTATCACCATGGTGGTTTTATTATATGAACAAAACTTTTGAACTGCTTTTGTATTTCTGCATATGTCCTGGTTTTGGGCTTTGAAAAAGAAGTGTAGGACAGAAAACTTGTTTTATTTGTTCATGAAGGATTGATCAATTTTGGGCCAGTAATTAGCAGAATTTACTGTTCAAGGATGATTGCTTTACTTCAGTCACAACCTGCTGTCTAGTGCGCCTTAGCTAGTTTTGGAGTGACTATTCTGCTTTCTGTTAACTGAGTGAAGCTTAATTATATACATTTTTTGGGCATGCTGAAGAGTGGTTGAATCAAACTAGATGAATCATTTCAAAATGGTGAAATCATATAGATCAATGGTTGTATTAGCCATCTCTTTTGATTTAGTAGCTTTCTGCATCCTGCCCTTTTACTCTCACTACGTTCTCTCTAATGTAGCTTAAATTTATTCAGACCTTTTGACTCAGCTATTGTGTTTCTTCTATCTAGTTTCCATTGGAGTTTGGTCATCATTTGTATACCTGACAAAGAAGATGAATCAGGACCTATTATCCTTCATTTGGATTCATTGGGACTTCATTGTAGCAGATCAGTTTTTAAGAACATTAAAAGGTGAGACAGTTGAGGCCAAATGATTAATAATGATTGTGTTCTACCATATTTTGTCTTTGTCTATAGTCATAAAAAGAGGAAGCTGTTTGGGAGGAGAAGGAAATTTCATAAGGATAGTGCCTTTTCTGTTTACATGTGTAATAGCATGCTTTCCAGACCTGCACACCTCTTCATCCATTTCTTCTTAATTGATACAAGTAAAAGATTTGGTTATATGGGAATCTTGAACATCTTTCTACTGTTGTTGTTTTAGCTAATCATTGTCGTATCGTAGCATAACAACATTTGAATTGAAACATTTTGGGGTGGATTCACATCATGTTGAAATTTTTAGTTCTTTATTTTAATGGTAATATTGTAGTATGCATGTCTAACTGATGCTTGAGCGGTTGGTTTGCTTTCTTAGTGAGTTTCTTAAACCTAAGAGACAATGTGAATCTTGTTTTTTAGCTATATGAGAGAAGAATGGAACTATTTGAATCAAGAGGTTGCTCCTTCAGATCTTCCCATTGCAGACAAAATATGGGAAAACCTTCCCCGCAGGATTGAGGAGAAAACTATAGCTGTAAGCTTTTATTTTCAGTGTCTTAAATTTTATCTCATTCATTTATGGATTTGGTAAATGGCGCATAAACCTTAAGTTGGTAAAACATAGCCTGATGGATCGTGATTTCAAAGAATTAGTTACAGGTTGATCTTCAATTACCTCAAAAAATAATTTTCCTTGATTTCTTTTCTTGTGTGCAAGCTGTATGATAAAAGTTAATTGAAGATATTTTGGGGGTGCATGCTTGCTGACCATCTAACATCTGAACAATGTATTCCGGCTTACATGTTAGAAGAATGTGAAGAGATGTTCATAGAATTGAAAATTATCACAATGCTTCTTTCAATCTTTTCAGAGATATAGTTACTGGTTTTGCATTTTTCTCTAAAACTGTAACTTTAGGTTTCCTGTTGATACTTTTTTGCCAGGTTCCCCAGCAAAAGAATGATTATGATTGTGGTCTGTTTGTTCTTTTCTTCATGGAGCGCTTCATTGAAGAGGCCCCTGAAAGACTGAAAAAGAAAGATTTAGCGATGGTACCTGCTGTGTTTCCTATCTGGTCTTTTAAAAATGTTTTCTGGTATGGTTATTTTCATGGTTAACCTGTTTTCATTTTCAGTTTGGTAAGCAGTGGTTCAGACCTGAAGAGGCCTCCAGCTTGAGAGTAAAATTACGGAATTTACTTATAGAACAGTTTCGAAGTGCAAGTGAGAATATGGGTGGTTCACAATCATCTCCTTCTTTGTCTTGACTCTTTTGAAGATGGTGCTCCAGCATGAATCTGGTGGCAAATAGGACACACCAGTGGATTGGGTGCCATCTCTGTATAGCTTGCGTAGCGGTAGTGGTGGTCCTCGCTTCAAATGTATCAGTGGTAAATCAGATAATATAAAAAAATTTTCCAATTGCTTTTGTATAGTTGACGGGAGAAAAGAAAAAGAAAAGAAAATGTTGAAATGCCATTGTCAATATAAAAAGAGTAAAATGGGGGTAAAGTTTGGATACATGGGAGGAAAATGGCATAAGCATTCATAACTTGTGATGGTGGTGTTTTCAAGGCTTTCCACCATCAACATTTGTATTCAAGTTTCTTACTTTCTGTGTCAGTTGGCACCTACAAGCTTCTTGATGAAAGAGTTATGCAAAGTCATGTCAAAATGAATACGTGCATAATGGAAACCCAGCCTCCCTCTCATTTCTTGTATTTTTTCATTTTCTTCTTCTCTTGTTACGTTAATTATAAAAATAAAAAAAATTTAAAAAATAATAAATTATCATGCAACAAAGCAAGTCAACAAAAAGGTCTCTCTCCATGTATAGGTACAAGTGTTATGCTCAACATGTCTACGTGTTTGTTTTATGCAGCGATCACGAGTTTATGAAGTTATATATATAAAGGCATCAAAGCTTCCTTTTGTAAATCAGGGATCCTCTCTCTCTGTTTCCACTGATATTCAATGAAACTTAAAACTTTCAGATATATGTATCGACACAAAAGAAGATATGACAGCACTAAATGTTTCAAATATATATGAATACTACTATGTATCTATGCTTCTTGTTCAAAATAGAAATGGATTGCTACAAGTTTCATATCTGAATGCTTGTTTACAAAAGCAGCCTATTGCTCCAAAATGATGACAATTTAACATTATGCATTAGTGATTTTAATGATGAGTATTGTAATTTGCTCATTTCACAACGTTTCCTTATTTGCGAAAGCAAAAACAGCTCTGCGCATCGAGAAACTTAATCTTTTTACCCTTTGATGTGTCAAGGGCCTCCAGCATCAAAACCACTTGTTCCATCTCTGGTCTTTTACCAGCATCCGTATCCCAACACTGCTGCATCACATTTGCTAGAGCTTTTGGACACTGCTTGGGTATTTCGGGTCTCAGGTTCTACAATCCAGAAATAGTTGCAGTTGCAGTGGCAGTGAGCTTAAAATAAAAACATTAATTCTCTAATATTATATTAAAATATATGTATTTACATCCGAACATTTAGCTTATTAATTGATATATGATTCAGAGATCTCGAATCCCCCTTCCTCCAATTTTAAAAAAAAATAAATTAAAATATATGTACCTGATCAAATATAGCAACACTCAATTCGGAAAAACTAAGATCGGGATAAGGCATGTCACAGCAATAGATTTCCCACAAACAAATTCCAAAACTATAAACGTCGCATTTTCTGTCATATTGTTTAGAATCGATGACCTGCATGAGATTATGTCAAGTAATATAAAAAATGCAACTAATTGGACATAACTTCCAATTTGATTCTGTATTACCTCAGGAGCCATGTAAGTAATTGACTGCCTGTCGTCCGCCAACTCCTGATGATTTGATATTGCCATATTAGATGTTTCAAATTCGGTTATTGTGAGCTTGAAATTTCTATCAAGAAGCAAGTTTTCTGGATTGACATTTCCATGGATGAGTTGCCTTAAGTGAAGGTAAGCCAACCTTAAGGAAACAAAACAACATTGAGAAAATGGTTGAATTGAAATTCAAGTCACTCAAATAAAAAACACAGGGAAAGGAGGTTTTACCCTCTTGCAAGATGTAGTGCTAGTTGAATGACAATCTTGAAAGCTAGCTTCTTTTCTTGATTCTTTGAAAGGAATGATCTAAGAGTATCCCCGCATCGATACTCAACTACAAGATAACTCATGTTACTTAACAGGCGAACTTCCTCATTATCCGCTCGTAATGTAAATTCTGGTTCATCAATTTTGGCACCTATCAGCTAAGTAACAACCGAGTTTGAGTTCTTATTGTCAGAATATCTTTTAGAACATGCAAGGCACAATGATGAGAATTGAGAGTTACCTTGAGAATATTAGGATGATCAATCTTGTACCAAAAAGAAACCTTCTCCCTAAAAGGGCTCCTGCAGGTAGGCAAATTGTTTTCTTCACTGCTTGGCAGCTTTTGGACATTTTCTCTCCGTTCAAACACTGTCACTGCAAGTTTGTGAGGACAAAACCAAATTCAACTTATAATTGAGCCCATCGCCATGACAAATTCCTTGTTGAAAGAATATTTAAGAGTAATGTGTGTGTCTCACCTATAACGTCTTGACTGTTATAAACTCCCTTGTAAACTTCTGCACAAGTGTCTTTGTCCAGCAATTCTTTGAAAACAATCTCATTGAGATTAATTTCCCATTCTTGTTGGTTTGAGACTCCCACCTTTTCTCTCCCTTTAAGTTCCCATTCTTTTTGGTTTGAGATTCGCATCTTTTCTCTTCCTTTAAGATCCCGCATTGCCCACAGGAGATCAAGTTGCTCATCCATTTTTTCCAAATCCTCCTTTTTAATTGCTCTCCAACACCCTTCACCTTCATCTATCTCTGTGATTTCGTGCCCCATGATTTCCACAGTTTTTTCCTCAACGATGGATTCACTTAAAAGGTAGAAAGTTAGCAAGGGCCAATCTACTTGATATTTATAGCCAAAGCAAACTCTGGAGAAGTTAGACTCCTAGTTCTTGTAAATTTCTGCTTCCTTTAAATACAATAGCTATGCTTTCCAAGAGTTTAACTTCATCTATAACAATTGACAACTACTTTATATGCTTGTATGGAAATAAATCAAATTTAGTGGTTTTGCTCCTTTTAATTCAAAAGAGAAAAGGGTTTTCTCTTCTGTGAATTTGGTATAAAGCATACTTATACACGCTTATTTCTTTTTTCTATATAAATTGTAAATGTCACAAAAAAGATGTTAAAACTTGTTAAGAGAATTAAAAGACCAAATTCCAAAGATAAAGTTGATAAAAAATGAATGAGAGGTAAATTATGCAGATGATTTTAAAGGTTATTATCTTATATATTGTTGGTGAAATTTTTAAATTTAGTAAATGAGTTAGAGAGCTATCGCATTAAATTATAATTAAAAAATTAATATTAATAAATATCTATTTATAATTTATACTTATATTTATCAAAAAAAATTTATCACTAAAACACAAAATTTCAAAAGATTATTAATTTCTCCTCAAACGGTTACCCTGATGAAAGTCAAATCGAATTTTTTTTATACCACTTGTCGTGCCATCATTACCTTCTCCTCAAAAAGCTAACTTGATAAAGTGTGTAGTATTACTGCTTATAAATCTCCCAATATTCCTCCACTTGGTCGATATAGGATTTTGGGATGCACCTTACCTACTTCTTTCCTTAAGCACTAAACGTGACAGAGAGTGCCACTAAAAAAATGTTTAAAGATAAAAATTTAAAAAATTTAAAAAATAAATATTTTTAAAATTATAACTATTTATTTTTAAAAATTTTTAAGTTTTAAATTTAATTATTAATGAGATAACAATATTTGGTTTACTAATAGGGTATAAAATCTATATAATGGCAGAATATATCAAATATAAATCCTCTTTATAATATATATATATAAAAGCACAATTATTGATAAAGTGATAATTGACCTAAATTTCTAAATTTTCATTTTAAATATTTTTTTATTATAGATGTTAATAAGATTTATCCAATCTATAAATAAAAATTTTAATTACATTAAATAAATTTCAATCAAGAAATATCTTTTTAAATCTAGTAATATTAAATAATTTATAAATTAATATTACAAAATTTCAGTTATATATATTTATTCTTTAAATTGCAATTATAGCCTAAGAGTAGAAAATCTTTTGTACCTTGGAAGTATTATCAAGGGTGTAGTATTTGAGAGTCGAAAACTACCGCATTTAAGATCTCTCATTATGGCTGGCCCTCTGCCCTGAACCTCCCAATCCAGCGGCTCCAGGAGGTCAGAAAAACATATGCGCTGACAGGGAAAATAGACGAAAACGTTATACGCCTTAAATCGGGGTTGCAATATCGATGTACTGTGATGTGGGATCCGAATAAATTCCGGAGACCGAAATGCAACTACATTTTCTCAACATCAGTTGAAGTTGCATGATTTCTGACGATACAACGTATAACATGTTCAACGGAAAAGACCTGTGACAGTACAGATAGCCAGTTTCTCATACTACTGTTGTTCTTATTATTTTGAAAGCCGCTTAGTTCTATTTATGTGGTACGAGGTGCAGAAATATTTATACTAATTGTTCGTTGTATAGACCAAACATTTCCCTTTCAAGTATTTACATTTCTAAAATGAGTTTATGGAGGTAGCCTGCCATTTCGATTACTTGCGGCGTTTCTTCTTCTCAGGAGTATCATGCACCTGTGCTTTCATTCCATATGTTTTCAGCTGAAAATTTTCAAAGGCCTCAGAAACTGCTCCTACCTGCATAGATCATGGTGTTCCTCATATTTCACTCCATGGAAACTAAACACTATGAGTATAGTCCTATGCAAGGTTTTTGTTTGTTTATTTCCACTGACCAGTTCAGGCTTCTTGGAGTACACTCTGACAATCATATCTTGACAAAATGTAGGCAGCAAGTGACTGATGCCATCATCCCGTATTGGAAATTTGTAATCACTCTCATAATCCTGATGCAACTCAAAACCATAGCCAAAATCTTCAATTTGAAAGTAATGGATACTTCCCATCCATCACAAAACACAAGATATCTGTTTTGGTGGATAAGAATTGCCATTGGTAATATTTAATGACAGCATCACTCTATCTGAAAACTCAAGAAACCTTTTGTGGTGGACTAGAATCCGCCATACATTTCCAACCTGCATTCCAAAAGGTGTTTTGCCTTGTGTTTTTCTACCTAAAAAATGTGAATAACAACGCTCAACTAGTCTAATACTTGGCATGCAGCATCACGAATAATATATCGTAAATAGCTTAACTAAATTGCCAAATAGAAATTAACCTTAAACCTAGGTAGTAATTGATTTTCTAATCTTGTACGCTACTCTACTTAGCAAGTGTCATGTACAACAATTCAATGAAACAAAGATTTGTGGGGAAGGAAAAGTGATGTTAGTACCTGGAAAAACTTGATGCTGGATAAAGAAATGCATGCAAGGAGAAGAAAAAGGATCAAAGGAAATCAAATTATCAGCAGCAAATCTGTCAAACTGCTCAACAAGAGAAACAGTGCTTTCATCAAATACATTATATTCTTTCTCAAGTACCTTTCCAGAGGGTTACTGCTCCCACGAGTCAGATCAATTTTGACAATGCTCACAGCAACATCTTCCTCTTTCAATGTGGTACCACCATTTTTCTGATAGAAAACTTACTTGTTAGGCCGCCATTTGATTATTACTCTCAGTAAAGAATCTCGCATTACATTTCTTTTATTTGGCACCTGAGAACAAACAATATCTTGAGGAGTGATGTCTTTGAAGTTCTCTTGCTTGTCCATTGGAACAGAATATTCATTGCAGAACTGCAATATATAGAAAATTGTAGCAATTTCACAGTCCATAAACTCTGCATACAAAGAAGGAAAGGCTACTTACTTCCATATATTGTTGGAGGATACCTGGTATAGATCTCTTCTCCGGATGCGAAGGATCAAATCTCTGGCTTCCTTGAGCTCTTGTTTATCAGAAGTTTCAATTTGTCTTAATATTGAGTCGTCTAACTGCAATTGTTGAAGGGGAATTTTCAGTCCTAATGACATAAAAATGGGAATGTTGAAGATAACTGTAAATAATGCTTTAAGCTCAAAATACCTTCCAAAATTTAGCTGGTTCATGAATTGATGCTGATATACTCAGTTCATCATTTGCTACTGTCAGAGCATCTACAACCATGAGCTCTATTGCCTGGAGAAGTAGAAAGAAGAAAAAAAGGCTAACTGTTAAAATCCATTGCTTTTACCGCTCAAAGTTCAGATTGAAAAGCTACATATGTGCCAAACCTAACACATTGAAGTTGTGGATAAAAAAGAGTAGTTGCAGCTTGGTACCTTTACTTTAGCATGTGTATAAACTGTCCTATGCAAATCAGCTCGAGTGGCAAATAACTTGTGAATAGTTAGATCTGACAAAAAAGTAGCATATATTTGTTGAAGAACGTAATTATTTGGTGAACATAATGAATTTCAAGATATACTAACAATCCTTTGCCCTGTAACATATCTCGTCACCCATCACTCTCATTGTTTCCAATAACCTGCAAGTTACAATGAAGAACAGGAAGAATATATGTTTTGACATATAGTACATGTATAATAAACCAGGAAGCTAAGTTCTGATCCCCGCACATTTGCAAACTCAGAAACGATAAATTAGCTTAAACTGAAGAGCACATCTTTGTATTTATTAACCATCAAGTGATCATTAGATATCATATATACCTCTGAAACTGAAAATTGCAGCCAAGGCCACAAGCCCGGGAATCGCGTACAATATAGTCAAATCTGCAAGGAATTATATTTATTAACTTCACTCTCAAAACCACAAGTAAAATTGAAAATTTATTTTCAGTATGGAGAATCAATACACTTACTTGTCAACATCTATTCCATTTCGACCATTTGCAACAATGTCATATAAAAAACGCTTCTCACTCATAATCTACAGTTAAGGAATTTAAAATTGTGATGGTGAAGTAATTGATGATGGAGCTGAAAACAGACAACAATAGGAAACGACAAACGAGGTTTCTGACGTATTGAGGTAATGAGGTGCTTACCTTTTGTGAAGCATTTTCAGAGCTAGCAAGTACCATTTCCTGTCGAAATAGCAAAATTATATCAAGCCCCACATTTGTAAAGCTAATTTTCAAGTATTTAATATTAACCAACCAGTATCCACTGTTCTTCACAGACATAATAAGCTAATACAAAACTCGAATGAAGTTAACTTGAGATTAAATCCAACCCTATTCTGTAATTGGAAGCTCGGGGTTAAAGGAAGGGGAGGCTACCTATATGGCTTAAGCAGCCATTGGGCTGGAATTCAGAAAGCACAAACAAGATATAGGATGTCACTGGCTAGAAAAAAAGTTGGAAGCATGCTTTATATCAATATATTTCAGTAGAAGAAAGGAAAGAACAAGGATAAAGGAAAAGAAAAGAATAAATTTCTCCCACACGAGTTGGTGCGGAAGAGGTGGTAAGGAAGCTATTTGCATCCTCATTCATGATTTAGTGTGTTCTAGAAAGTGCTAAAAGATAGTATAATCTTTCTGTCATGATAAAGAGTTCAAAGGAGATGGCAATGCAGCTTCAGAGGCACTTGTATATAAAGAGAGTACAAATAGAATTTTAAGATAATTCAACCTTCACATTCTTGAGGATTGCAGAGTCTATTTCTATGTGGTGCGCATCAACAATATAATCAATCATCTTCACAGACATGTCCTCATGAGACCTAAAATTTCAAACAAATTATTGAGCAAAAAAAAAAAAATCAAACAAATAATCGGAAGAAATGGGTTAACGCATTCAGAGATCAACATATATTTTGCAATTAAATCTATTGTTGTATTAAATGGCCAAAACATGATATCAATTAGGGATTACGGAATAATGTCAATTATATAAACCAAACAGAAACTAAAATTGAAATTTTGACTGCTGAGCGAATGAAGACAAACATGCAAGAGCAACAAACTCTTTAAACGGAGCAAAATACTAGGACACTGCCTAGGCTCCAAAATATTCAATCACATTTTTATTCTTAAGATAGTGACGTATTCAGTTTGGGAATGTAAAAGAAGCATGTGAAGATGCAACCAGGGCTCACATATGAGGAAAAACAAACAATCTATTTCTAGAGGTGAATGTAAGAATCACCATTTAGATCCGTTAAGAACCCGAGGAAGAAACTCGCGCTCAAAGAGATGGCTGAATGGTCCATGCCCAACATCATGCAGTAGTCCTAAGCAAGTAACCAACCAAAAAAGAGGGTGAGATACAGCGCCAGAGAGAGATAGAAAGAAGAGAATACTGATCAATTTGATCGATAAAGACAGTAACGATAATTACCAGCAAGTTTCACTGTCCTGATATCATTACGCTCAATGTTGATCTCCGAGCCCTACAAGGATGCCATGCGTATAAAGAGAATTTCTCAATATAATGGGGTCAGAATGAGAAGCACCAGACTGAAGAGTTCCTACTTGGTGAGCTTTAATTGTATGGACAGCTTCTCCGGCTAGCCAATAAACTCCCAGTGAATGCTCAAAGCGAGAATGCACAGCCCCTGGGTATACCATGTGCGTTAGACCTGATTAGCAAGATAATTCGGTCAGCAACGAACTTGTATCCACAAAAGTTGCAAAAAGAAGAAATAAAACAGAGTTGACAATGAGAAAGATAACAATTGGAAATCAAATCTTCCTGTATGGGAAATAAATAAGAAACTAAAAATGCGAACTTGAGCAAGTCAAATCTCTTAATGTATAATCTAGTTTACAAGAAAGTTTACTTACCAAGTTGCTTTAGATCGCGAAGTCTGCAGTATATAGTAAAGTCATCAAAAGACAATTCCTAGTATTATTTATGAAAAATGAAAGAAATTCTACTCCATATATTCAACAAGGCAAACTTGCCTCTGAAACTGTTCAGTGTCAACAAGTTTCAAAAAGAACTGCATCCACAGCGAAGCAAAAAGTCAATTTACGGTCAACAAAATCTGGAGAAATATGAATTTCACTGTTCATTAAGGATTAAGCGGAGTCACAATATTATAAGGTACGCATGCGCACTTTTAATCTATTATAGATTTTCGTCATTCTTTTACTTTATGTACTGTTTCATATTTTCTTTCTTCATCTTCTATCTTGTCGCGTATGAACGATTCCTAATCCTCTCTACGAGGAGTTTCAGTGATTCCAAAGCTTTTTATCTCGGTTATTCAAAATTAGTTTTCTAGATCCAGAGCAACATTGTGATTTCATAATAGGACTGAATCAAAATCCAGTTTGAGTATTTATCGCAGCTAATCACAAAAGCCGCGAGTGCTAGTTCGTAAACGAAAGTTGGCTAAAGGCTTATACCGGATCAAGGTAGATGTTGCCGTGGACGTTGTCGTGGATGTGCTTCGAGTATCGTCGATCCTGGCAGGACAATGAGTAGAAGCTGGTCCCCTCCTCGTTCCAACGCGTTCCCATTCTCTTCTCACAGCCGAAGCCTCTTTTAAAAGAGTAAAAGTAAACAGAGCAAAACAGAGTAAGCTAGAAAAATGAAAGGTCCGATTCGGATCGTTTTCTTCTAGGAAGGTTTTTAGTTCTAAACCGAGAGAGAGGTAGATTGTTACTTGGGGGGAGTAAAAGCTTTTATAAGCACAGGGAAGTTGGAGGAGTGAAGGTGAAGTGATCCCGCCAAGAAAGCGATTTGCTCGTTACCTTGTTGAGGAAGGGAGCGCGTGGCTGGCACCGTCCAATCACCGAATGAGAAAATTTGGCAGCCTTTATTTGTCGGATCGTGTGCGTTGTTAGCGGTGCAATGATGGTGAATTAATTAATTAAATTGTCCATAAACGGTTACTCTTATGGCAAACGCAAGCGAGGAAACATTGAATCCAGATTAATAAACCAAGTTGAAGTTGGTGTCAGAAGCACCAAAGACGCTACTAAAGCTGGAAATGGAAGGTTTGGAAAACGATGCTAATTATTGGGAACACTTTCACCTTCCTGCCTTGCTGTGTTAAAGGGTTGCGAACCTGAATTCCAAATTCCATAAGAAAGAATAATTGGAACATAAAAAATTGATCCGTCTGACACTACATTCTAAAAACCAAGCTCAAAAGACATTGTTCCTTGTTAGAATCAAAGCACAAAAACCCTTATGCCATCGAATATTGACAATTACCTGGTGTTAATCAAATTGAATTCGACGTGTTCCTTATTCAACGACAACACAGTTGAAAAAAAGGGAGATGAAAGAATCTGCTCTATCGCTTATGCCAGTCTGCCTTGCCTTATTGAAGAGCTTTTATGTTAGCATCATCGTCTGACCTGTTCCTACTCGTATTCAATTCAATTTTTCTGTTCACCCTTTTTCTTTTCCTTTTTATGAGTAGGAAGAAAACATCAATTAAACTCCATAAAAAAGCACATCTAATTTAAAGCCAACCCAACCACGTTGCATTATATCCAAACTAATACTGGGTCTTAAATGGAAATGGTGCCCTTTAAGAATCAATCCGCTGGCCTTGTGCACGTAATCTCAAAGTTTAATCCAATATCTTAATAGGGATAAAAAAGAGAATAAGATACCATGCAAGGGGAAGAAGAATAAGAAAATTACAACAGGAACCATGCCTACTTCCTACTCCACTAGTCCAAGGCTTGGGAGAGGATTAACGGTCCAGTCATTTCTACTTCAACTTTGAAGATTAAGCCATCGGTTCGTTCATAATCCAAGAAATTGCACTGGTGTATTTAGAACCATTTGGAATTTCTCTGGAACACGAAGCAGGGGAGCTTGAATTGTACCAGGCTCACCAAGCTGACCACAAGCAGCCATCTGATCATCACCCCTACTGAGTCGCAAGAAAACTGTGCAACCAGCTTTTGCTAAAGCATTCCGAAACTCAATCATCTTCTCTTCACTGCTTGGTCCAAACTGGGACCCACGATGAGGATTGAATGAGATAAGATTGATTTTGCAAGGAATGCCCTTCACAAGATCAATTAGCCTCTTTGCGTCCTCGATGCTGCAGATAGAGATCAATGTCAAAGGCCCATAGACAGTTGGAATCTATCAACTTAAACTAAAATCGCAATCCTGATAAATGTTGGCAATCAATGCAAAAAGAAGAGACATGATAATAGCCGGATTAGAGTTTTATAATAGTCCGCTGTTAGAAAACTTAAGTTACAACATTGCAAAGGCAAAACTTAGGGTGACCTACTGACATTCAATCTATAGACCCTGTAACAATACGTCACGTTAAAATGCAATTTCTCCAAGCAAATTGTTTGAACAATTCAATTATGTGTTAAATGGAATTATAGTGCTGAAATCTCAGTCACACTTTTGCTTGCCCTTCAAAATTTAAAGGGGAAGGATGATTGTGTACAATCTAACCATGCAACCTATAAAACTTTTCCACATAAAACATTGCAGAAAAGGGAAAGGTTATCTAACCTGTCATTGACTCCCGCAAGCATTACATATTCAAATAGAACTTTGTAGTTGTGTTTGAACTCTAGTTCCTCTCGAAGGGTCTCAAGAAGCAAGCCTAATTTATATTTCCGATTAATTGGCATGATCCAGTTTCTGACCTGCATGATTAGTTGGAAAAACCAGAAATTCAGTCTCTCACTTATTAGATCTCCTCTGTGTGTGTGTTTGTGTCTTCCTTTTGTGTGTGAATGTGCACCCTAGTGCAGGCATCGCTCTATCTCTCTCCTTTTATTTGTGTGCATATGCAAGAATATGAGCACCAATAAGAATATAGGTGACAGTAAAGTACCTCATCAGTTGTAGCATTCAAACTAACAGCTAGGGCACATTTGGACTCATGAAGAAAACGTTTCAGCTGGGGGACAAGTCCACTTGTAGAAACAGTAACCTTACGAGGGCTAAAGTGAAGGCCCTGTTCGTGCACCATGATGTCAGCAGCTTTTATGACGTTTTCAATGTTATGAAGTGGCTCTCCCATTCCCTACAAATTCATGTAGCACCAACAGTTACTGGCACAGTAGGTTCACTGAAAAGCATTGAGTACGCAAATCTACCTGATATTCTAAGGGATCCCTGTTGAGTCCACTAGTGCTCTATGAAAACAGGATTAAATACCCACAATATTTCATTATTCACTAGCTTAATGCAAAGAAGCTTATCTGAAAAAATAAAATATAAATAATTTAGTTGAAGCACAAGATTCTGTGGGTGTCTACATGTTCCCAGCTAGTCATCTTGATACAGGATTTACAACCGTAGCTGTATAAAAAAAAAAAGCCAAAAGAGAATTGCTTGCAATTATTTTCTTAAATAATGAAAGATTTCACTCACAAACTTATAATCATGATGGAAGATAGACTTTCAAATCATCGGCGCTTCATAACTAGCAAGACTGGTTTGACTATGTTTGCTTCACCAAACAGTTCCAAAAGGACAAACCCCATCTCTAATTGCTAGATGAAACATGCTAGATCAAGGATATATTCAATATATGGACCAAAAAAAAGCCTGAAGACTCAACATGCAAGAGAGCCATATTTATTTTCTCAAGCACTAGAGTAATGAGCACTGGAAATCTACCATAGACATACCATGAATACAACATTTGTAATGGGCCCAACATCACTGGAGAGAAGTCGCCTAGCATATACAGCCTGCTCTACAATCTCAGCTGCAGTTAGATGTCTCCTCAAACCCATCCTGCAATTTAGATCCATGTTACGGAGAAATACACCTTAGAAAGGTAATGACTACTAAGACAATCTAGACTGCCAATTCTAAAGTAGGGAAATAACACTTGCCTGCCTGTATAGCAGAATTGGCAATTCATGGCACAGCCCGCTTGACTTGAAACGCAAACAGTTGTCCTGCCCCTATCGCAGGGTATCACAACTGTTTCTATTACCAATCCGTCATCCAGCGCAAACAATATCTGCAACCTCCTGTGTGATTTTCAAAATCAATCAGAAGATTCTCAAAGGAATGCAAGCAAATGACTGATGCTGGAATACCATTTTAAGGTTTTCTATTGAGATAGAAACATCCAATTCAAAACAAATAGTCTAATAAAATTGCAAAAGATTATTATAACTAGAAACAGATTAGATAATGTGTACCTTTCTAGTGCCATCAGATGCAGTGAGAATATCTTTCAAAGTCAAGGCCCTAAATTCAGCATGCTCACTTAGCATTTTCCTGAAATCTTTGTTTAATCCTAAAAGCCACCATTCCAGAAACCCATTAGTCCAATTATAAACAGAATACTACAGAAATGAGACTGCAAATAAATCAGTTCGCTGAGTAGCAAGACTACAAAAACCAAAGAAGAAACAAGGTTCTCGTATGGATGAAGTAAGACGTAAAACTGGTCGAAAGGAAAAAATGAAATACCTTCAAGTTCATCAATATTATGTGCCCAAATATTATCTCCATAGAGACGCTTCCACAACATCAAAGCCTGACCAGGCCTGAATCCATGTGATTGAACCCATTCCTGACAAAGTAAATCCCCAGAAAATTAGCAGCAGAAATTCAAATTACACACTTCACTCCATAAAAGTTTATATATATATAACAAATGAAGACCCACTTGAAGCTCGGCATAATTCATCCCTTTGAGAAGCACCTTGGAGACCTTCTCCAGATTTTCGTAGCTTTCCCCACCTCCGAAATCGGGAAAATTTTCGTTGTCGTGGAGGGAGAGTAGTGGGGATGCAGAGGAGCAGGAGGGGTTTGAGATCGAGATCGCGCGACGATCGGAGGAAGCGAAGGATATGAGATGAGGTGATTTCAAAGAAGGGAAGGAAAAGAGCAGGTGACGGGAAGTACATGGAAGAGCAGTGACGGGAGATGAAG